ACATGCCTGTTGAAAAGCTGAACATTGATGAAGGAGAGTATTTGTGTGAATACTTTGCGGACTAAGAAGGGTGGAGCCTGTATCATGTAAACAAAGAACGTAATCAATATACGGAAAAAGTTTTATAAGATATACTGTTATTAATGGAATTCAAGACTCACATTGTTTGCTTTCATTAGATTCAAGTACGTGTTTAGGCTTTTCCTAATACTTTGCCAATGGGCAATCAGAGCTTGCTGAGCAACAGCATTTGCTTGTGCTCTCCCTTTCACCAAGCTTGCCCTTGATGTCCTTGGTGCCTGTATCATGTAAACATGCCCTTACACTAATCGGTAGATTAATGAAATTTAATTTAAGCGTCTGCATAATATCAACTACATGAATTCCAATTTCTACAGCCATCCTGGAGGTTTTAGAATGGCTAAGAAATGTTATCAAAAACACTCAGTTATTAACTTTCAACCCGTCTAATTTATAACTATCATCCGAAAACCTGTTGTATGAGCACAAAAGTAACAAAGAAATTACCTGTATACATAATCCCAGGAGAGGAGAGATCTCTTTCTTTAGATTATCTCTGATCATTCCATATATCTTCTCGAGGTAAGCGGTAAGCTGCTGCTTGAAAAGCAGAGCAGGGTACTTTGCTTCAACTTGCCTCAAATCATCAAGTTTGGTGAGACCTTGTCTATTCAGAAAAGAGAGTCCAGGACTTTGAGGGGATGCCCTTATGCTCTATATGGATTGTAAAAAAGGTTAACATACCGTGGCAGATAAAGGTTAAGACAAAAAAAACAAAGATTTGCAGCTTCTTACTTGTGACATCCTTCCAAATAGGGATGTTGATGCTGTTCTTCGTCTCTGTGGTGTTAAACTAGCTGCTCCAGTTGCTTTGAGTGTGCGTTGCAGAAGCAATAATAATGTGGCTGAATTAGATAACCAATACGCCAAAACCTCATTATTATCTGGGACCTATATGTAAGACAACATTTTCAATTGATATTAAGAAATTTCTAAACGTTTGGGCTTTAGAACATGTCGAAATAGTACATCAATTCTTCTGAAAAATGAAGAAAGAATCAACTTACGTCAATGGCTGTAGCTATTGTCTGAATGATACGGTCAAAGACGCCAGTTCTTTCGGCTTCAAAAGACCTCCAGTGAAGGAGACATTTGTAAATGACACATGCAGCAACAGGCTTGTCCCCAGCATATCCAAGGTTTTGTGAGATACACTTGACTAGTAGATCCTGGTTTTCCTGAACAACACGAAAATTATAACATATGTTAAGAGAAAAGCAGTGTGTAATACTGGAAAGACAGTTAGTGCAGGAAACTTTATTTATGCTGATACGTGCAAAGTTACCTGCTGCTTCTCATTCAGATGTTTCTGCGGTTTCTCCTCAGACTCTGGTTCCCGTACAGCAAGAGTCATGTCCTGACACATGTATAGATGATGAGTGATTGAAGAAACAAGAAAGTATACATCCTTTTGAACCTGCAAATTTAATCAGAAAAACACTTCCCCTTACCGGTGTAGTCTTTGTTTCTCCATTAATGATATTTCCATTCTCCGGAGTTCTCTGAACATTGAGAAGAAAAGATAACATGAACAAAGAGGCCTTCTTGTCTTTATAGGTATTAGAAAGAAGAAAAAGAATTCATATATTATTAGCACCGGTAAAAGCATTGTTTTTGATCGCATGGGCATAGATCTGCTGGTTGGAGATATAGCAAGTGCCTGTTGACGTAGTACTTGAATCTCTGACTCTGAATTGGAAAGCTTCTCTTCTAGTCTGAACCAGAAGCAAAACCAACATGTAAACACTCGGAATAGAACAAACACAGTTATAACATATATAATCAAACCAATATTGATAAAAAAATGATTAGTACAAGTCTCTTCGCAGTATTAAAAGTTGTACTTGGAACAAAACAGTCAAAAATATATTGGCTAAGTTCAACAACCATAAGAAAGTAAATATGTTTTTTTTATGTTGATCGTCATCGATATATTTACGAACCTTTGTACCGATTCATGAAGCTGATCTGCTTTTCTAGTAGCATTTTCAAGTTCTGTGGCCAGCTCCGAATTTCTAGCCTCAGCCTCTGAGAAAGCCTTTCTCAAGTTTTCTGCAGCTTGTCGTTCAGACTGAAGCGAAGCCTGTAATAAAATATGATTTCAACAAACATCCAGCTTACGATATCAAGGGCCTAATCAGCATATATCTACTAACTTTGATAGTGAAGACATAAATGATGATCTGATAAGTTAAAAACACACACACACCTTTAGAGCCTCCACCTCTGATGTTAATGAATTGATTTTTTCAGTATCCTCAACCAATACTGGAGTCTCCTTAATGACTGCAGGTGCTTCCTCAATAGCTTTCCTTGCAGCCTCCCGTTCTCTAATCACAGCAGCGTTTGCTTCTTCAACTTGCAACCGCATTGCTTGCAAAGCCTCCTGTTGTTTTGCANATTCTTGGGCTTTTGCTTCTTCCATTTCAGTCTGTATGACCAGGGATTATTAATAACAGTGTAAATAAAAGCATGATAACATGCTAGTGTATAGAAATGAACTCACTCTCTGTCGCTTTTCTAGTTGTAAACGCCATGTTAATTCCTCAACACGCTTCTCAAGTTTGTCTTTCGCCTCTCTAAGGGCTCCTGTGTCTCGTGCAGCCTGAATCAATTAATTGTAAAGGTAAAAAAACATGATCACTTCATGAAAATGTGAACTTGGCAGTATAATTCTATAAAAAACAAGAGGAAAAAAGAAATGAACCATCTTAAGTGTCCGCAATTCTTTTCGTGCAACCCTGCTCCTCCAGCCACATTGCGAAGAAAGGGCCGCTTTCTGGAGTTTCTTGTAGTAGGAGTGTGCGAGGTGACTTCGAAGACGAGCCTAAAAATGGAAAGGAGAAACCATTAGATTATTGATGCAAAAGGAACAATTTTGCACATTGACGTCTCTTATTTTCTCAGTTAGGTAAATAAGGATGACCCAAAGAGGCTTCTTGGTAAATGGTACTGACCTGAATAATAGTAGCAGCCTTCATTTGTTTTCTGAATCTGAACTCATTGCGAGCAACCATTCCCCTTAGTGCTGTTTGAACCACTATTGCTGAATCTCTAATTCTTAAATAAGATTCTCTGGCAATATGTCTTCTGAAACTCTTCTCAATCTTCAACGCTGCTGCTTGGCGTCGCATTTCCTCATAAAGGTTGCACGCCAATTTGCCTTGCATTCAATAAAAAAGGTTTCAGAAGCTCATTCCTCCAGAAGTCATACAATCCGCATACAAAAAAAAAGCCACACAAATACTAAATATAAATCACATTTGCAATACAAAAAAAAGGGGACCATAACAAGCCACTAAT